CATATATCAGTTCACCTATTGCTGTGAAGCCAGGTACATTGGTCGTTCGATGCGTATCCTGTCCAAAAGCGTTCAAGAACACTGTCCCACATGGCTACAAAAAGGTAACAGTGGCGATAATCGAACATCTCGTCAACACTGGCCATTCCATCTCAACAAATGCCTCCTTCAAAGTAATCTACCGTCAAGAATAACCTACCAAAGGCAATGCACTTTCGTCTCCTTTCTATTGCTGAAGCCTTAGCCATTCAGTTAGAGAAACCAGAGTTATGTATACAAAAGAAAATTATCCAACCACTTCTACTATCATGGTAACATCCGCGTTGACTTCTACTGACTTCATGTTTGTGTGCTTGTTTTTTTCTAACTCCCCGTAGCATTTGTAATTTTTAGATTTCTTACATAATTCCATATATCCCTTTGTTCCTATGTGCATCCTAATCGCAACTCATTAAACTATTCACATTATTAAGTAACTGTATGACGCTTACTGAAATTCTTTTAAGTGTTAATAAATTTGTTTTTCTGACAACACATCCCCACTACCCTCTTAACGATTTTAACCCTCGTCACCCTAGTTACAGCTTGATTACTCATCACATTTTTGTCTTGACAACAATAATCTTAACTTATTTTTATTCTTATCGGGCAAACAAATGTGCACACGTACAAAAATTATCATTATTATTATCTCCATTAGTTCCTAGAGGAACACAGGGCTTCAGCCACACGTCTCCATTGCGTTCGGTTCCCCACCAACGGTTTCACCTGTCTCCACGTCTGCCAACATGCTTTCATTTCCGCCTCACATGACCTCCTCCAAGTCACCCTCGCACTAACCACCAACTTGCCGCCTCCTATTCGCGTTCCACTCAAGCAATGGCCCGGTATGTGATGTCACTTGATGGTTTGTTTTCTCAGAGTATGGCCGATGCACCTCCATTTCTTCTTGCATAATTGTTGCATAATTGATTCCTGCTGGGTTCGTTCGTTCATTGCCAGATATCCCTGTTGCTGATCTTTTCAGGCTATCCGATCTTGAGTATTCACCGAAGACAGCTGATGATGGAAGTCTGTAGTTTGTTCGAAGTGCCCTTCGCGACACGGCATCAAGTCTCTGATTCGTATAGTAGTACTGGCTTCACATTGGAGTTGAAAATCCGGATTTTATTTTTCATGCTTAGTGCTGTTGATCTCTACACAGACTTGAGAGTAATAAAAGCTTCCCTGGCGATTGTACAGCTAAGTGAATGAATTCGCCTCCGAAAAGAGATTCTTCGCTGAAATACACGTGTTTTATTTTTCATTAATGTCTGGATGTGCATTATATACATGAATATGTAAAATAGGTGTGGACCACTTTTAAGCGGCTAAAATCTCAGCGCAATCATCCGGAACCATCCATCGACATAATACCTCAGCTGCATAACACAATGAAGACATGATGACGGAATACGTTTAGTTATTAGTGGTCGTGTTATACAAAGCCATTGATAAGTACAGAAAAGGTTATTACTCAAAACACTTCCAGTGATTAGGTGTGTCAAGGAATATGAACATTGAACATTGGTTCATTGACCGTGGTAGCCATTGGCGGGCAACTCGAAGGCGCGAATGGTTTGATCGTGTATAAGTTCGAAGAAGACGAAAGAATACGAATAAAAGTACATCATAATTTTGTATAAAACATTTGTTTATAGACTTGTAATTGCCTTTACTTTAATTGCCAAACAATATATCTTCCTTCAAAAGGTACTGGTGTTTTGGAGTTGAAGTCGAGACAAGTACATAGTAATTATCGGTTCAGAGCGTCTTCGTTACAATAGGAACTTAGGGCTAAGTTCCTTGACAAGGTGTTTTGTCTTCTTTCCCAAGAGAGTAAAACTAAAAAAGACTCCGCTAGTGACGAACTATTACTACGAAAAGCGGAATCGGCATTCTCAGTAAGTTGGGAGTGCACCCACATATTTTACATGAACGCACGAAATGTTCACAATACTCTTATTCAAGATAACTTTAAATGTTTTTCATCAATTAAGCAGTATCAAGAGTCACTTTGCATGGATTTAGATGGTTACAGGTTCAGTCACCAGCTACAATCAGTTAGATAACAATTAAGAGTATTGAACAGCTGTTTCGTCCTATTTTGGGACTCTTCTGGGTTCGAACACAAGTCCTTCCGGTTATAGTGGCTCTCTAATTCTTGTTAGCTCATGATCACACCTGTAAACAATCAAATCCATGAAAACAAACAGTTGATAGTTAATTTAATGTCCACTAGTGACTGGCTGTATACACACAGTTAACTGGCCACCTGGGCAACCTTCCCAGCCTCGTACTTTGTACGTGCATTATTCCACATCCCCATTCTTATTCTTGTTTTCATTAGGAGACGACACATCGGCTGGCTGGTTGACCGGCTTCTCGAAGGCTGGCTTTCACCAGCCAGCTGTGTCATTTAGCCTCTGCGATTCCAGCGAAGAATAAGGTTGTTTCTTATACATTTTGAATTTTTAATATTTTGATGGCGTGCGCTGAAGTTTCAATAGCAGTTTGATTGGTTTTGTGGCGTAGGGTCGCTATCTTCACGCCTAACCCTCCCTCTTTACCCGGGCTTGGGATAGACTAGAAAACTGGCGAGCTACGTGAGGTTGCTTATAGCACTATATAATTGACATTCAGTCTAGTGAACCTTGCTAATCACCATCAGAAAACAACAATTAGACAATATGAAACAACTAACAGTGAGTCGGTGACGTAGCGGTTGGGACGCATGCACATGGTCCGGGGTTCGATCTCCGGTCGACGCACTCCTTTACCTCGCTAAGCCAGATATAATGCTGGTGAAGAGGAAGGGTTGGGCATGAGGCTAGCAACCCCATCCTGTAAAAATAAACACTGCTACAGAAACTTCAAGCCACTTCAAGCTTGAAGCCCTATGTTCCACTGGGGAACGTGAAGGAAAAAAAAAAAAAAAAACAACTAACATGCATGTATGCGCTGGTCTTTTACTGATAGGATGCTGGCCAACTAGGCACGTTTAAATTCCGGGTTCGACTCCCGGTCAATGAACTTCTAAACACTATCTATTTTACTGGAAGGTGGGAGACCCCAAAAATGGGAGAGAATAGAGGTTGGAGACTAGCAAACTATCGTTACTGAAACTTCAAAGCAATATGTTCCCTCTCGGAAGGCAAAGAAGTGAGGAAAAAAACAAGCATAGAGGTATAGTGCATCCGTCTTAAGATACAAATGACCAGTGCTATGGCCAGTGCTACTAATAAGATCTCTCAGCAGTATATATATATATATATGTAGAGATGTTCATCGGCCTAAAAACATCAAATACCAGGGAGATAGATTTCATTTCAGAGAAGGCAAATGATACATCATTCCGTAGATTCATGAGAGACGTGAAAGGAACACAAAGAAACACACACAATGTGAAGGAAGGCGAGAATTAGCAGGCACAACACGGAAGAACTGTGGAAATAGTGCGTTGAAGACAAGGTGTACATAATTTAGCTATTAAGAGACACCAATTTCCAAATACACATTCCTTTACCAAGTCATTCATCTTCTGCCGTTTTAGTAAAAACTGTGATTTCTAATGTAGACACACCTGAAATATTTATAATCTTGACACACTCAACAAGCAAAGTGAACTATGCCTCCGATAAAAAAATACTCAAGTAGTCCATGATATCATGTAAACAATTTTCTTTTAACAAAAAAGATTTCAATTTATGACCGAATTAATGGATGATGCGTCAGTGGTTCAGCGGTAGAATGCTCAGCACCAATCACGCCTCAGATGGTCCATGGTTCAATCCCTCGGTCATTGACCAACCCGTAAACCCCACGAAATAGGCCAGCAACATCCAACCCACCCAACGCCCCAGCAGCAGTCTTCGTATGTTTGGCATGCGACTCGCCCCTGTAAAATGTAAGATGCTGCTACAGGACTGGACTACGTCAACTCCTACCTTATTGATAGGGAGCGAAGTGATAGAACATGTTGACCACTTCACCTATTTGGGAAGTTATATCAACACCAACGGACTGATTGGTGACGAAATCTCAGCACGGATCCGAAAAGCTCGGGCTGCTTTCGCTAACTTACACCATCTCTGGCGGGTGTAGGCGTGACATCCGGCTATCAACCAAGGGACGTGTGTACTGCTCAGCAGTTCGCTATGGCTCTGAAACATGGCCAATACGAGTTGAAGACATGAAAAGGTTGACTGTTTTTGATCATAGGTGTCTACGATCTCTTTCTCACGTTAGGCGGCTTAATAAGGTAAGTAATGTTGACGTTAGGCGTAGAGTGTTGGGCAAAGAGGGAAAATCACTCAAAGAGGCTATAAAGTTACATAGATTGAGATGGCTAGATCACGTGCTGCGCATGCCTAACCATCGTCTCCCCACCCCGACGGGCATTACTAGTTGATATAGGTGGAGGTTGGAAAAGAGTAAGTGGTGGCCAAACAAAAACATGGCATCAATCCATGAAATCCCTGACAGTTAAACTGAGTCAGGTAGGGAGATGCAGACTTCCGGGTTGGGGCCCGCCCTCGGGACTCTAAGAATCAATGGCTGGAGACAATAGGTGACATGGCTCAAAATCGTTGTCAATGGCCTACGCAGATGTATTCAGTCTCTGTAATCTTTCATATTCCTTTCTACCATTATTCATTCTGTTTCACTCTTATACTTGTCAAAACTCTATTGATTCTCTTCACTCATCTTCTTGTCTACCTTTGTGTGCTATTTGGAACGTGGCAACTCGAACTGGTGCACTTCGGTGCCAAGTTCTATGTTGAATCCAGACAAAAGACCCCCCCCCACTACAAAAACAATACAACAAACACAGCTAATGAAACTTCAAAGCCCATGCTTGAAGCCTTGTATTTCAATTGAAAAACGTATAGGGATAAAATTCAATTGATCAAATAAATACACGTTAGTGATTATTATTATTATTATGAGAAATAACTTACGTATCAACACATGCCTTCATAAATTCATCAATGAATTCATCATATTCATCGCCTGTAATTCTTTTATGATTTAAACCAAAATAAGTTGGATTATTCAAATGTTTCTAAGATGATATATAAAAGAAATATAAAGTGTAAGAAAATAATTTACACAATAAACACAAAATGAATCAAATATCAAGTATTGGTTTTTTTGCAGGAATTTTGTTTGTTTGATTGATTGGAGGATTTCATCATGAGCTGAAATCAGTTAGAGAATCATTGAAAAACCAGCACTGGAGTAGTGGACAGCTGTTTCGTCAGCCTAGTTTGGGACTCTGCTTCAACAGTACGCACCCACACCACGGGGTTTGAAACAGCTGTCCAGTACTCCCAGCTGGTTTTCCAATGGTTCTCTAACTGATGTCAGCTCATCATGATGAAATCCTCCAACCAATCAAGCAAAACAAATCACTACAAAACCAATACATGAAAATTGACTTGATACTCACTAGCGACTGGCCCTATTCAGGCAGTTACCCGAAGTTCTAGTGAGAAGTCATGACCAGTAGGGTACAGCAGGTTGAAGTTGAGGCAGTAACTCATCGAATAAGACATTGCGAAGTGGTCGCGCTATGTCATAAACCGGCAGAAGTTAGAATTCATGGACTGGCCATTGGATCGGGTCCCAGTGGCTTAATGGTCTACGAGCTAACTCGCCTAGTAACCAGAAGGTCCTGGGTTCAAACTCCGATGTGTGCGTGCCGGTGAAGAGTCCCGAACTAGGCTGACGAAACAGCTGTCCAGTACTCCCTGACTGGTTTTCCAATGGTTCTCTAGCTGATGCCAGCTTGTGATGAAATCCACCAACAAATCAAACAAAATCCCTAAAAAAACCAATACTTGAAAATTAATCCATTTTTGTTTGAATAGATTGACCCCGGTGAACTCAAATATGTTGCTGCAAAAAATCCCATTCCTTCACAAGCTCATTTGGCGGTGGGACAGCGGCGAGGATGAAGAGAAACACCACATTTATGCACCTATGATTGAATCTGTAATCTAGTAACCTTCCTTGTTTTTCCAGGCTTAGAAAAGGTTTAAGAGGTAGGAGTTCCAGAAAGGCCATCGTAAAATTCAGAAACTTTAAAAGTATATGACTGATAAAAGCCGTATAAAACATGAGAGACAGTTAGTGTTGCACTGTATACATTGTCCCAAAAGACTGTTCTTGTCTATTAAACGTAGGACTAAAATTAGCAGTGGTATACCGTCACTAATAAGCGGTACAAGTGAGGCGGCTAAATTAGATGAAGCGAAGGCTGAAAACCTATCTGAATACCTTTTGTGATGCTTTCTTGTTTGATAGTAACACCAAGAGTTTCACCACTAAAATGCCCCCAACTGTGGTATATGACTCAGTGGTTCTCAAACTATTGTCTAAACTGAAGCCAGGTAAATCAACAAGGATTGACGGACGCCATCCTAGACTGATAATCTCATTAGCGCATATAATACACCTACGGCTAATGGAGATTTTCAAAATGTCTCTGACTCAGGTCAGACTACCTAGGGACTGGAAAGATGCGGTCATAAGCCATATCTCCAAAGAGAGAGACGGCCAATCGGTATCTAACTATCAGCCTGTAAGTCTGATATGCATTGCAGCAAAGGTATTAGCAACAATCATAAGGGACCAGCTCTAAACTAATATGGAGAAACATGGTTTACTGGCGGAGGGAGAGAATGATCCTAACTAACAAACTTACTGTTAGCTAGGGAAAAATAGGTAGAGCCAAGAAGTAAAAACCTAACGTTGGAAGTTCTTTCTTTCAATCTTAGTAAAGCATTTGATAAGCTGTCACACTTAGATCTTCTTGGTACACTGAAAGGTTCTAGATTAGACCAATGCCTATGTGAGTGGTTTAGGGACAACCCACTGGGCAGGAGACAAAAAGTAAGGGTTAATAATGTATTGTCGAGATGAAAATCAGCATCGAGTGGAATATCACAAGGAAATGTCCCAGGTCTCTTGTTATTCCTATTATATGTAAAGGAACTGGCAAAGTTCTTACCTTATCTTCATTATTATTTGTGGACAATATCAAGATATGTAAAACTGTAAATAGTAGTTATGACAGGTCAGTCTTACAAGATGATTTAGATAAATTAACTGTGAGTGGTCTAGACTTCAGAGTTTGGAAATTAATTCCAGCAAAAGCACGGTAATACACTTCGGTCAGAGGTCTTACACATCGTACTCTCTAGGGAACACACAACGTTTTTAAATTATTCCTTTACGTTCCCAGTGGAACAGAGGGCTGCTTCAAGCTAGAGCTTCGAAGTTTCAGTAGCAGTGGTATCTACTTTTACGGGATGGGGTTGCTAGCCTCATGCCCAAACTTCCCTCTTTACCAGTAATATTGTAACAACAGAAGACAAGGGTCAGGCAACAGATCGTTTATTAAGGAAATCAACACATATTTATATATTTTCATGTAAATTAATATAGATTATTTAAGCAAACAAACACAGTCCGATGACTGATTGTTTCTCACCGAAAGTTAATCTCTCATCTCTTTGTGGCTGTTTCTTGAATATCAGATGATCTATACGCTAACTGTATCCACCTACGCAAAGTCTTTGTTCATATTTTTCTCACGACCAATATCGGGGACATAAACATTGACGTAAATTACTGTCTACCAACTTTGGCTAGCAGCTAGCTCTCACCACAATATTACTGGCTTAGAGAGGTAAAGGTGTGCGTCGTTGGCCGGGGATCGAACCCCAAATCATCTGCGTGGTCAGTGAGCATTCTACCGCTGTGCCACCGACGCACTGGTCCGGCAAGGCAGATACGAACCGCCGACCTAAGGTCACACAACTACCTGATGTTAAGGGACAAAAAGACCTAGGAATTATTGTCAGAAATGATTTGAAAACAACTGCATGTTGAAATGCTACCGTGACTTTTCGAATGCTATAGGCACTCAGAAAGTACCCTACGCAAAATATATCAAACCTCGCCAAGAATACTGTATATACAGGCGGAAAATCTAAGCTTCAAGAAAGAGGCACGTATCTTGGAAGGAATAAAGGATAGAGACCAAAGTAGCCGGTGATATCTCTCACCTTCCTTAAGACAGAAGGATGAAACTTGTAAATCTTTTCCCATTATCATACCAAAGGTGGACAGGTGACTTAATTTTGGCATAGAGTACATTGAAGCGTAATTTGGGGATTAAGCTTTCCAACCTTTTCTCTGCCTTTAGGATACTTTTGCAAGGAAGTCACAAAAAAAAGGTGTTCAAACCACAGACGAATAAAATGCCCGTGGAATTTAGATTCTCATATAGATAGAGTGGTGAACAAATGAAACTCCTTATCCGATCGAGTAATATATCAGCTCCATCGGTGAACTCTTTCAAAGAGAAATGTATATGTATTGCAAGGATTAACACAGGCCGCAATAGCCTACTATCCTTTATTATCTGAATATGAATGAGTCAACCAGTGTCCTCTTAAACATTTCGTTTCATTTTGTTTTCCGTTTACGTACACATGTACTTCGATGTGCAACGTAATACAATTCATTCTAGACAAGTGAACATGTAACAAATTGAATGTGTACAATTTTATTTTATTTTATAAATAATTTCTGTATTAATAAAACCGATGAAAACAGCTATGACAATTTTAATTTTGTTGACATGAACTTTTTGTTTATTTTTCGAATAAAATAAAATATGACCAATTTACTTTGAATATGTTACAACTGTTTTGTTTTCTAACTGCGAGGGGTGGGGTGTAGTATCATCATTAGCTGACTTATTAACACCGAATATTTAAAAACTATAATATTCAAGTATTGGTTTATAGGGATTTGATTGATTGGTTACAGGATTTCATCATGAGCTGACATCGGTTAGAGAACCATTGGAAAGCCGCCAGGGAGTACTGGATAGCTGTTTCGTCCCGATTTGGGACTCTTCATCAGTACGTACCCACCGACGTTCGGACCCAGGACCTTCTGGTTACAAGGCGAGCTCGTGACCAGTAGGGTACAGCAGGTCGGAAGTGAGGAGGAATACTCGCCAGCGATGACATGGGCTAGCGGTCGTGAATTGGCAGAAGTTGGAATTCATGGACTGGCCATTGGATTGGGTCCCAGTGGCTTAATGGTCTACGAGGTAGCTCGCCTTGTAACCACAAGGTTGTGGGTTCGAACCCTGCGGTGTGGATGCGTACTGTTGAGGAGTCCCAAGCACTAGGATGATAGAAACAGCTGTCCAGTACTCCGTGGTAGTTTTCCAATGGTTATCAAACCAATGTCAGCTCATGATGAAGTCCTGTAAATAAAAACTACAAAATAGACACGTACCACAAATCAGCGTTTTTCAATAATTAGTTAATTAATAAGTAGAAACACTTCAGAATGGAACACAGGGGGCTTCAATAGCACGTCACCATTTCACTCTGTTTATCTTCAGTGACACGCTGGTCAACTTTCTGACCCGTATAGAAGAACTGACTGACTGACTTCACATTTGTGTTGAAAATCCGAATCTTCTTCTTTATGGTGGCTGGGAGAAGCAGAAGATTTCCAAACTGGTTTCAGGTTGATGAAGGCGTATCTTACCTTTCCGATTCTGACTGGCTGGCTGGCTTTGACATCTTCATCTGTGCTGCCCAACTGCCTGTGGTTGAAACTGTGCTTCCTGGACAGATAAGTGAAGCCAGGAAGTAACCTCTGTCAAATCTCTCCCGTTGATGGTTATTGCTACTGGCTTTTATTATTCACTATATTTTGACCTCAAACAGGAAATAGTTTTGGGACTTTCTCATTCCTTTGTTATATATTCACGAATGTTATAAAGCCTAGTTAATAACTTCGTTGAAAAGAAAAGATTTCTTCGCTGAAAACATCTTTTTATATTTTTATTTCTCATATGATCTTATATACATATATATACTTAGTAACCAGTGGAAAAGCACTATGAAACCAAAGTATCACACATTGTAATAGTGAGATTATCAATAACACTAAAAGCCTTTAAAATAACAAACAGATACATCCCGTTGTAACGGTAGGAGACGAAGACATGGTAAGGGAATCTTGATT